TATATTATTATTATTAATTATTATTATTATTCATTATTATTGTTGTTTCTGGTAGAGATGAGATCGGATGGCCTCCAGACTTTGCCAAATCATCTTCAACCAACCTTAACAGAAGGTTGATTAATACTGTAATTGGCCATATTGGGCTCTTTTTAACCTTAAGGCTGCTCTCCTCGCCGATGGCAGACGAGGAGTAGACTGGTTATCATTAGTTACAAGCAGTTTTCAGACCCTTGCGCGATCAGTAAGATACGTAGCGTGGTGCGGCGAGGAGACGGTAACTCGGCCACAGTAGCATTCTTGTTACAAGAAGCATTCAGAAAATCGCGTTACGCATCGGCAGAATGATAGATTATCTAAGTCTATTCCTCCACCAACACGAAACCACCAACAAAGCCAACACACACACAGAGTTACACGTTATAAACTATATAATTTCGGTTGTATTATTGAAACCTGACCTTAACACAGCAATGTAAAAAAGATTAAGCTTTTGAAATGGGGACCTACCGGTCGACTGTTGAGAGTAACATGGACTAAAGACTAAACTCTAATTCATAATCGATCCTAACATTCAACAAGTATTGGCGGACAATCTGCAACACAAGAATACCGAATTCCAGGATGTATCGTGCGATCGCGGACATGCTGGAGAAGCGGATAGCTCCAGGTAAAGGTAGATAGAACAAGAGGCTGAGTTAAGATCACCATGAGATGGAGAAGAGACCAATGCAAAACTTCATCATGTACGGCAAAGAAGTAGCAATGCGGAAAGGCAGAGAATCGAGAGAGTGGAAAAAATACTGTGGAAGCCACTCAGATGGCAACCTAACAACCATCTATGAAGATCAAGAAAAGATTATTTTTTATAAGCAACCCTCCTTCAGACCAAATAACTGTAGCTTGAGGGCTAAGAAGAGTCCATCAAACTAGTGTGACTTTCAGGATACTCACAGCGGCCACAGGAGCACAGAGCTTTCGTTATAAAGGATATATTTATTAACAAGAAAACAAAAACAAATATATAACTTAATAATCTACTTAAACCCTACTCTGAAGACCTACTATCCCCTTGATCGCGGAGCGATCCAAAAACCGATGAAGATGGTTTAATTGTGCCATTTCGCCACCCTACTTTTTGAAGCGCGACACAAAGCCTAGCTTCTGACGGATGTCACGCTGGACACAAAGTCCGTTCTGGCGCACCAACGGCGGGTTTGCCTCGATCGCCAGAGCATCTTATTCCGATGCAGAATCGGCGGAAATTGTGGCACTCAAACCATCTTCACCTCCGGAGCACGCACACAGCATCGCTCCCCCGTGGAACCGCACGTCACCCTAAGACATAAAGTCCGCAGCTTCGTCAACTAATGACTCCAGCCTCGCGAGCTGGCTCGCATATGCACCGTCTTGGCGCCAAGTTTGTGCACACGCAAGTTCTCCCACCCCCAACGCTCTCCAGAACCTGCCTTACTGGTCTCCTACACTCTTTTATATAGGCGGACCCACGTTGCCTCCTACGTCCCACGCCACCCCCTCGCTTGTTATAACAGTTGAAAGCCATATAAAGCCGGAAGAATCCAAAGCCGTGTCTCCGTCTCACGCTGTTCTTCCCTTACGGAAAACCCTTCTTCCTGTGCGAGGAAGAGATCAGTCGTAGTACACGGAACCAACAGCAACTGACGAACGGACTGTAGACGGCGTTTCCGTTGACCGCGCGCACAACCGCGGACTGGTTAGGGCGGAAAACGTTCTAGCAGAGAAGAACAGCAATGAAAAGGCGCGTTCGTGAAGTGAATGTTGAAAGAACGGGCAACTTACTATTCGTTCGGAACGCCATCTTTACGGATGCGACAAGTACCTCAACATTCGGATGCTTCCGACGACAAAACTTTAGTTTGTTTTTCGCCAAACCCTCTGGCTGGTTTCTCACTGATATAAAAATATCCTATTGTTTTCCTTTCAGAGACCTTGTCCTTCCAACTGTTTAATAACTGCAGTTAGATACTTGGAACGATGAGCACAAAATAGATTAGATATACTTAGTCCAAAAACAGTAAAAACTGCATGTGACATATGAGGGAGAAGATCATGTTTATGACTGTGAAGTATGTACTTTTTTCCAGTAGCATTTGATGGGCCTTAAAAATTTCACTTGTCTCAGCTGGATCCAATGAAAGAATAAATTCCTTAATAGTGTTAAAATTCGCACACAACATAGCAGCACACGGAATCTATGATCCCCTGCGTGTAATGAAATTTGGAAGGGTGGGTGATTTTCATGAGGGCATCAAAACGATTCCGATCTTTTCGCAGTATCTTCTTCACGGCAGAAATGAATGCATTTACAATGTCGTAATCTTTCCTTCTAGATCCATAAACCGTGTGATGGGCATGGACTAGGAACATCTCGTGTTCTAACTTTGGTAACACAAGATTCAATAATTCAATTGCTGATTCCATGTAGAGAATCTGGTCCGTACACACCAGAAGTAGTTTTTGAAACGCGATACTTCTTGGTTTTTTGACAGAAGTCTATGATTAATTATAGTACTTTACTGACATTGAATTTTACCAGTTCGTACATTTTAAATAACAAAGGCTTCCCGTTCTCCCCTGATAGCGTAAAAACTAAAATGTTCAAAACGTATCGTTCCGTAATTAGCTTCTTTTCAAACATTGCAAAAGAGCGGTCTTTCATAGCGGGGGCGAGGCCATAGGTCACTTAATAGTCCCCCTCTTCATCCATGAAACAAGAGGCTCGGCGATATTTCGAGTCTCTTCCAAATTGCTCAGACTCTTCTGTAACGGTAGCGAAAAAAGTAAAAAATATTTCGAATCAAATTTACTATTTTTTTCTGCAAGATCTGAATCTGTAATACAACGTGGAGGTTTGAATTTACAACTTCGTTACCCAGTATCGTCCATTTTATCTAAGAACTTATGAATTGAATTTCTACGTAGGGGAGGTGAGATGACCCATTTACTTTAATGGGAGTTTAGTGAGAGTTAATGTTTGGTGAAACGTAATATTTTTCTAAGGCTCCTTAAAAGACCTTAATGTGTCGTTAACTTGTAAACAAGCGTTGGTGAAATCTCTTTTGCCCTCGCCTCTCGCGTTGGTCTCACTTTGAAATCTGAAATCAGATTAGAATTCTGCCTTTAAGATAAACCCGTAGAACGAAACATCCAGATGCGAAATCTCAAAGCTATAAATGATCAGAAATTACAACAAAAATTGGTTTTTACCTAAGAATCCGCAGATAACTTCAAAATACAATAAGATTATGCATCATGTCACATTCAGATTTCTTTCTTTCAAACAATGTTATCAGCACGCACGTGGACCAAATATGCTTCGAGAGATAAGTGGTCAAGTATCAATTACTTATCAAGATACGATAGTTCGTCGGTTTGAAGAGAACGAAGAAACCTTAATGAGATTGAATACGAATAAACGAGTGTTAGAGCGGTTCTGTGTGGTTAGGGGAAGGAGAGGATAAGTGAGCGGCGTGATGAAGCCGAAGGACACTTCAGTTGCCGCGAGAGATAAGAAGTATTTGCGTTGAACGGGAAGTACTCTAGATAACACATCAAAAAAGCCGATAAAATTAGGCTGAAGAATGAAATATCACATTGACAATAAAGCAATTCAGGGTAAAGCGAACTATTCCAATTAAAACCAAAAACAAAAAAGTAAAAAATCAATAGAAACAGTACATACAATTTACAAAACAAATGTTAGTACTCTACTACTGTACGCATGCTCAATAAGGCTAAATGCAGCCAAGACCAACCTTTAAAAATACACGTTATTCAAAATCAGTTCGTATGGACAATTAGCAACGAACCATGGCTCATTTCTAATACACTGCCCCATACAGAATTCAATCTCCTACTCATAACTCAGCACATATATTTATCCACCCAATTCTACTCCAACCTAGTGAAGGTACCAAATTTGACCGGATTCAACATAGCGAGAAACCCAATCTATTCCACAAGAATTAAAAACAGCGCAATTCTAAAATGTATACTTATGCAACAAACCAATGGTTTAGACGGGATTCTCTGCTTTAGAGAAAAGCGAAATAAAAGGATATTCATTGTTTTCGCATTAGTGTATTGAAATGAAGCTTTTCAGCCGAATCAATTCCTGATTTAAAAAAAACCTAGATACGTAGTACTGATTTTCTTTTACATTCATAAATCTTACAAAAAAGGTATAATGAGATATATTACTGTGGACTTTCAAAACAAACCTAAAAGAAAGTGGATAATAAGGAATTACTTCAACTCAAGAGGCTTATCATATCTCGATTCCATCTTAACCCCTTATCTCTTAGAGCCTTCTATTTCGTTTCACATTGATTACATTGTTTTACATGTGATTTGAGAAGAAACTACATGAAATACAATTTGCTACCAGTTATCATTTTCTCTTATATTGGTTGATGCTTGTGTGACTATACGTGTATTTTACAGTTGCATTTAAACGTAAAACTATATTTTAATGAACATTTCAGCTTATTTGGCTTTATACCATTTCCACCTTTTCCAAACAACCCAACAATTTAACCTATTTAATAATTGGATTTTTCACTACCTTGACGATATAGTTTATGTGGAAACGACACGCTGTCATTCTAAAATTATGATAATTCTCAATCATTTTTGAACGTTTTGTGTCGAATTTATTCCTAATTAATCCTAATTAAAGTTTTTATTCGTGTTGTGTAATGAACATTTAAGAGCTTTCAATTAAACATTTAAAATATTATTAACATAATATTACCGACTTATTTCAAGAATACAGCAGTTTCTTAGAAATGGGATTTCCTAAATTACTTCTGTATGTCTGTAGTACATTATGCAGCATTGAGGATATCAGCTGATGAATTCTTGCTAGCTAGATGTTTCGGGTCAGAGTACTTCCTTTTGCATTTTATGTCCTGGGAGAAGCACTAAATGAATGCAGGAGGGCAATATTTAAAATATACTGAAGTGGAAAAGCTATTAAGAATATGAAGATTGTCAGTCTCATGAATCATGTTAATATTCCTTCGTTCAATAGTTCCTAAAGAATTAAAAATTAAACCGGAACTCGTTTGGTAGGCTATTATCTGCACATACAGAACCTTTTATTTGGAAACAGCATTTCTCCAAGTAAGTCTCATTTTCTATCTCCAAGTAGGCATTGATATTATTCAATTTACAAGTTCTTTAGTACCATTATCAAAAGTAACGACAATTTAACATTACCCAATGTCAGTAACTACTTGCATTAAATTATACAAATGTGGTACTAATGCATTATAAAATTCGAAAAATGTAATACAAAAATATACAGATAATAATATAACACACATAACACGAAAATAAAACAAAACTATTTATACTAATCATATGTACTACCACTTGCATACATGTGAGACTTCTCCCCTTATCTTCGTTGTTTCATATCACTAATCTTTCATATCACCTCAAAAAGTTTCACTTTTAAGTGACAAAAATACCCTTTGAGAAATGATTGTCGGTTGTCCGCATTCTCGAATCTTTTAGAATTATTTTTCCTGTATGATCCATACTTAACTGAACTCCACTTCAGGCCACTTTTCTTTTGTTTGCTGCAAAACTTCAACTCAAATTTTGCGTTTGCTTTATTGGTAGAGCCATTAGCAGTTTCGCCTGTAATGTTACCCGCTGTTGTCCATTCACAAAGTTACATTTCCATATGTGTTCTTTGTTTCCTGCATTTAAAATTAGGTACGTACGCTTCGCAACGTAAATGGCACGTAATTTCAAATAAATCGCTAATGGCTTCCTGCACTGCATGCTTTGTACCGTACGCCTTCATGAGCGCTCACAGTCGCATTTGAGTTTCAGCCCGTATGTAAATTGGGGACCAATTAATAACTTCATCTTTTCTTGCAAAATTTACTTTCTAATTCTACATGTAAATTGGGGACCAAACTAATCCAAGTTAAGAAAAGTTGTTATTGAGCAGGTAAGCGCTTTAAGTGGAGTACCACTGCCGCCGCACTGCTGTCCAGATTTTCCTTGTGATTTATTGAAAATCTTCCGGACTCGTTCGTATATCAAAATAAAAGCAAATAAAGCACCAGAAGAGTGTCCAAATTTCATTTTCAGCGTTATAGAAGGGCTGGGAAAAAGAAATGTAAGAATGGCAAGATAAGCAGAATTCAATCAACAAATGATTCACAGGAATGAAAATCAACTTTAACCAAGCCATTTTTCGATAGAAATATGCCAAAATATGGAATATTGGAAAGATAATTGTGTTTTAAAAATAATGTTTATGAAAGTGGTTTCCGAAAATTTCACTTTCACTTTGCCACCTTCCACTTTCACTCACAAGAGAATGAGTTTTTCGGTCTCCAATTTACTTATTCTGTGTCGGTCCCCAATTTACATACGGGTTAAATTCTGATTTTTCTTCTGGTCTCCAATTTACATACGCCAGAGTACCTTCGCAGATATGGAGGTTGTCAATTGATGTTTACGTCTTTATGTCCCTTTGCGAATTTGATCGCTCTTTTTTGAAGCCAGTCGTGGATCCCAGCATACAAAACCCATATATTTTATTATGCGGTGGACAAAGTAAAACTCGACTTTCAAAAATTGCAAAGAAATACATTGAAAAACAATATTGATGATTGATATTTTTTATTAAATGTTATATTTTATTAATAAAATCAGTTTTAAAAAAGCAATTCTTTAAAAAAGTAATTAAGCGTACTTTTCTTAAATCTTCGAAATAGGAAAAATTCACATTTCCTGAGCTTAATTTTCTAGTATCTTACAGTCATACATTCGGACGTGCTAAATATATTTTGTTTTAAATTAGGATACTCAAAGTTGGCATTTAGGCATTAAGTCAGTCAACGTGATGTTAAAATACGAAAATAAACACATTGTAGATTTCATTCATTCTACTTAGTACATGGTATTTATATTGCTTCCCACAGCAGTACTTTTTCTCTTTACAGAGGATTAATTTTCTCCCTACACTAATGTCATTCAGACGGCTTTGCAATAACTCAACGTCACAAACCTACTGAATCAATTTTCAATACGAAATGCATGTATGCCACATGGACAGATTGAAATAAAAATGCCGGAGTTAAAAATATGCGCATTTAAAAATAAAAGGAATCATTCATGAGCGTGGGCCATTGCCCGTTTAAAGCCTGTCACTATGGAGTTAGCGCCTGCGACGCGAAAGAGCGCTCGGAAGAGATCACGATCGATTTTCCTACAGTGGCCGAAGACATAAGATCTTTGTTACATCTCCTGCCTTATAAAATGTATATTTTTAACAGTACTAAGTACATGTGTAAGGCCACGAGCCCCCTTGAGACGTTCATGAATTAATTCATCATCAACAAGGTTTGGGCCTAGTGGCCCGTTCCGCTCTCAAGAGTCTCTTTCCATCTTTGTGTGGGTCTTGCCTCTGGGTCGTTTCCCTTGCGTTTGTATTCGAGGATAGTCTTGGGAAGCCGTTTCTTGTGGCATTCTGGTTTGAGTGTTCGAGCCAATTCTTTCCTCGTTTTGAGTCGATCTTCTCCAGTATCTGGAGATCTGTAGTTTCATCTCTGATGTCTTCATTTCTCTTATGATCTAGTTGTGTATATCTGCTAATGCCTCAGGAATCGCATTTTTGCCGCTTCGATCTTTTCTTCGTGTCTGACCAATTGACTGGTCCAGTTTCGCATCCATAAGTTAGCATTGGGACTGCCATAGTTTTGTAAAAATTTTAGTTGGGTGTCTTGTCTGGTCTTTTGTCTTAGTGCTCTGCGTATAGTACCGCACAATTTCTGAAATTTTTGGATCTTTATGTTTATATCTTTTTTGTCGCCAGTTGAGATGTTAAATCCTAAATAATTAAAGTTGTTTACTTGTTCAATACTTTTTCCGTTTATCACTACTTTACATCTGAGATGTTTTTCCCCTGGAATGCCATTGTTTTCGTTTTAGAGGTTGATATCTTCAAGTTATAATTTTTCCTCGTTAACTCGAGGTAATGGGCAGCTCTCTGTAGGTCGTCTTCTGAAGTACTAAAAATGGCCTGTTCATCTGCAAATAGAGTAGTGTTTAAAATTGCATTGCTTATTTTAAAATGTGTGGTTATTTTACCATTCTTGAATAATATGATCGATATATATTAAAAAGGGTCGGGGACATCGCGCACCCTTGTTTGACTCCTTGGTTTGTATATTCAGTTAGGTTGGTCGCTGTTCCTTTGTCAATACTAATAGTGGTTTTAAAATATAAGCTTTTGATGGTTACTATGACGTGGTTAGGGTATCCACTATTACGCATAACACTCCATAACTTATTTCGAGAGACTTTGTGAATTAATTAAAAAGATTAATTTTATAAGGTAGGAGGTGTAACAATTACCTAATGACATCGGCCACTATAGAATAATCGGCATCTATTTGCCAATTACTGCAACCTCAAGTGGCAAGGTGTAAATCAGCTGACCCGGCTGGGGTGGCGCTCCGCAAGTTGACGTGTAGGTCGCCGCCAGATCTCATGTTCTGCGAGAGGAGAATTCTACCACCCCCCGGACAACACGGACGGAGCCAGTGATCACAGCAGTTGACGCTCCAGGAAACGCCCATCTGCACCCTATGTTCACACCAATTTAATCACTACGCAACGTTTCATCCAAATAATACAAGATTTTTTCCTCCCGTTCTTTTTCACTTTCATTGTCCCACAACCATGACAAATATGAGCCAATATGCCGGATGGAATGGAATGGAATGTACGATGTCACGAGGAGCTACATCTCGTGTCGATAGTCGTCGTCACGGTAATAGTAGTTCGCCGCTCACAAGTCAGATGGCGACACAGGTAGCGGGATAGCAGTAACAGAACAGACAGGTGTGTTTTCAGCCCTTTTCCCGTCCCGCTGCACGGAGACATCCTCCTAATACTCCCCATCAATTCCCTCGAGGATCGATCGTTGCAGCGGAGAGAGAAACGGCGGTTCGTGGCCGGAAAGAGCCCTGTGACACAATGGTTTGTCGTGGAGATGGAGGCGCGGCGAGGCGGCCCGCTGCCAGCGCGCTCTGTGGGCAGTCGGTCTCCTGCCCCGCCCCGCCTCCGCCCTCGCCACGGTCGGCCCAGCTTCTTCAGGTGTGTGCGTGCGTGAATGTTTGTTTGTCTGTTCCTCAACAATGTTTATTTTTTACCGATCCGTTATAGCATGAAATTTCCTTCGATACGGATCTCGATATTCACTGCGTAACTTTCCTGGATCGAGAGGATGGTCGATACGGGGAAAATATGAAAACAGTGGCTATATGTTCTCTTACGGACGGAATTATGAGAGGAAATTATGAAGGGAATTGTGGGAGGGAAATATAAAATGACAAACCGAGTCCCATTCTCAACTAGTTAATTTGTAAATAAGTGAATCTGAATCAATAAAATTAGATAAAAAGTAATATTATAGCGTTAACGCGTTCTAATGATCGAGCGACGACAAAAAGTAGGACTTTTGACCCGAGGGGTAGGACTGGGGAAGCTTAAATGGCTAAGGGAAGCAATGCCACTGCAGTGCCTCTGACCGCAAGGTCTCAGTGGCAGGAGTTTCCACACTAGCTAGAGAGCTGGGTCGAGTTCTGTCGCTAATTGGAGGAGAATTCTAACGGCCGGCTGCTCTGATCGGTAGTATTCACTGGTTTCTTCAATAAATACCCCTCAAATTACGGAGCAGTACACCAAACAACGGGCCATGGAGCATGTGTGATCTTTCTTTCTTCTTCATTGTCCGAACTTTTTCACTATCACAAATCGGGAGTTTAGAGTTTGTCCGACTAGAATGGTGTCCCGCTGATGGGAGATGCTGGTTAGGAAAACGTCAGATATTTTCATCCAGCGAGGGATGCCATCATTGCCATCTTCCGAAAAATAATGTACTACATTTACAGGAATAATGATCCTAGTGGTTGAAGCGTCGGAAAACGAATTTAATCAATCATTACAAGAGAACGGACTGGTCAAAGGGGTTTGGCGAGTTTAATAAGATGATTGCAGAAATACTGAACGCTACTTATTTAAGCGCTTCATTTATAAACTCATTAATTGAAATTCACAACTGAAGTAGTAACTATTATGATTTAACATGCATCAGTCTCGAAAACTATGTCTTGAAAGTTTCTGTTTCAAAAGTAGGAACGACAGGTTTTCTAAGAACACTAGTTCTCTGCGCCTCATTGTACCTGTACTTTATAGGCGAGAGATGGTGATGATCGGAAAATATCAAGTGAATTCCGAACACAATGTTGGACTAAGTCACTACCAGCTTCATTTTGTTCTTCTCCTTACCGGCAAAGGTGGCTCATGATGCTCATTGATCGGAGAAACCACGGAAAACTATCGACCAGAGCAGCCGGCCGCTAGAATTCTGACCTATACTGCGGCTGAACTCGATTCAGGCATCTAGCCAGTGTCGAAAATCCTGCTACACCGTCGGATCGCGAACCGTAGAGGCACTGCGGTGACATCAGTGTGTCACCTCAGCCACTTTTGCCGGTACTTACGCACTCTTATCTACCAAATTACCCTTCTTTTCGTTCGCGTTCGGGGAAAAAGCATGTCCTCGTAGTCAGGGTTGGCGACGCAGCGCGAGCGAAGTGCGGACAGGGCGGGGCGGAAGGCGAAGGAAGGTGAAGCAGAAACTGAGGTTTCAGGCGCTACGACTGGGGCGAAGGAGAAGCGTCAATTGCTTATTATGATTTCGCGGTCTATTATAAACCAAATAACACGTTCGGGTATTAGAAAATTTACAATTGCGCGCGTGAATTAGTATCTACGAAACGTAATCAGAAATACAGCATTTGAAGTTATTTTGTTTCAGGAAAAAAGGAAAGACATTTCTTCAATTAAATGGACATGTCAATTGAAAGGTTATAGTAGAAAATAGCAATAAATAATATTTGAATCATACAAACTTTCCAAATTTACTAAGTTTGCAAAGGATTCAAACACCGGAAAACAGAAGGTAAATGTTCAGTTCTAAAGATTGTCAAACAATCAGGTTTTGCATTAATTATCCATCCTAGATTTGAAACGATAAGAATTCCTTCTTTAATTCACATGTCGGTTCAATAGTACATTATGAAAAGATGATGTAATGATGGGTATTAATACACGATATTACGATACCACCAAGGAACGAGCGAGTATATTAAACTGCACATGAGCGTATTAATACTAATTACATTGAGTTTCATACGGTACTTTTTCTACGACTTATAAGTTAAACGTTTATATTGAATCGCTTCGTAGCAGGGTTCAGCCAAGGCCACTTAGAGGACAGCTCCCTAATCCTACATTATCCTGCTGCAAGTGTCTTAGGTTTCCAGTCAGCCTGCGAGGGAGTCGTACTACGCTAGTCAAATAGGATCAAAGTGAAATAAGGATCAAATTTATTTTAAATAATATTACACGTAAAAAATATTAAAAAAATTAACTGACAAGAATAATACAACACTAAATGCAATTTAAATGTACCCAATCGAACGAAACATGTACTAGAACTATTTTCAATGATTAACTAAGTCTGATGATACTTGGTTTTGTAAACTTCTCTGTGATCGTTCAAGAACCTGGGTCATAATAAAATCTCGTATTACTATTCTTAGTTGTAATATGTAAAATGTAGTGTTCTGCCACCAGGTTCTATACCTACCTACAGAAATAATAAATCTATCTATCTATCGTAATGAGTATCATTACGCAGTTTGTAGCAGCTTATTATCCGACAAAACTATACAACGGGAGCCGCAAACGGTCTTTGTGAAAGCGACTGGCGCAAGGCGCGAGCCGCCGAGGAGAGGCGCTGGGGGCCGAGTGAGCGCGGCGCAGCTGTAGCGCCCGGGCGATCGAGGGGGCGTGGCCGCCGGCGCTCCTGGGTGGAGTCGCATTCTTCCGCAGGTGGCCGCGGCGGCGGCGGCGGCGGCGGCAGCGAAGGGTTGATGGTGATGGTGATAATGTTGACGGTCTCGGGGAAATTGAGGAGGGACTGACCGCGTGCAGGTGAGTGGCGTATGACTCCGGTACCAGGGCCGCCCGCGGCCTCGTGGTCAGATTGCTCGCCTTCCTCCGCTGGTGTCCGGGTTCGATCCCAGGCGCTTCCAACTGGAATTTGTGGGTTCGCGGCAGGTTTTCCCGTTTTCCATGCATTTCCAAATATGCAGTCCGTCGGATCGCTCCATCAGTCATTAATATACTATAATACCCTATCCTGTCATTAATCACCATTCCGTTATGGGTTTAAGGATCACAGCGGTGTCTAGGCGATAACCAAGAACTAGCTGGGAAGAGCTGAGGCTACCTCAGCGGATTATCGACAGGTAGAACTAGAAAAAGGAGAAATGATGAGGCAGTGGGGAACGCCCCCTCCCAAGGGCCTAGATACGGTTAGTAGAGGGTAGAGGGTGAATGTAATGCCAGGCGGGATGAAGCTGGCCCCTGAGGGGAAAAGCATAGCATAGTTTAGTTTAGACTCCGGTGCCAACCTGAAGCGCCAGAAAGCTTCCAACTGGAAATGCCGCCCGGCCCAGATTAATAGGTAGCAGCTTTTAAATGCGGTGCGATTTGGCATATCTAGATGCCGCCTGACGGTGCGTCATCGCGCACCCCAAAAGTTGCGTATAAGGCAGTTAGGGGTCCAACCCTGGGATCTGAAAATCTCCTCTCCAGAGGTGGATCACTTGGGGGGGGTCAAACCTTTTTATTAAATAATAAACATTTTTTATTATAATGTGTACTACATAATATTACTTTTTAAATAATTACATAATTTCAAAATTTATATTAAAATAAATTTTGCCGACTAAAGAGAGGTAAGAAATGAAAAATCTGCTGGCACAAATATATATGTATATACACATGCCTGCGTGAAGATGGTCTTTACATGGAACGTGTTCGGGTGACGTTATATGGTTATATGTGACCGATGGTTGTGTTGATGGTTCTACGTGACTGAAGGTTCTGAAGAGGGGATAGTTGGTAACGGTGGATATTTGAGAGATATCAGTTGTAATGGCGAAGAAGTTTTTTTGTTTTTTGTTTGTTTGTGAGTCCGTGAATACGATTGAAAATGTGTTTATAAATAAACTTACGAAAGACCTTTACTCTTTACGGAATTCTTTAGGTTATTTAACATTATATAGACCTATTTATATTACCAAGCGAAGAGGCTTAGGGCACAGCGCGCTGACATTGCATTCGGGAGGTCCCGGTTCAATCCCCGTGTCGGCCATCCTCACCTCGGTCATCCAGGCGAGTGCGGGGATGATTCTACTGAAAGGCCACGACCGGCGTCGCTAGCGCCGAATTCGTTAATTATGTGAAGTCTCGGACGGTAAGCGAATTCGAGATATCGCGGGTTCCTGGTTGGGTGATCGACAAGGAAAAAAATATCAAATTTCTACCTGGCTTTAGTTACTCAAATTATACGATACAATCTAAGGGGCGCGGAAAATCGTTGTAGATATAGATAAGAAAATGTAGTATGGCTTGGGTGAGTGATCGTTTTAAAGTCACAATCGTATTCATCCACCACCGCCTTCGCCATTACCTGCTCTCGTCTTCGCCTTATGCATTTCTCTTCACCTTTTCTTTTGCTTGTTCCGTTCATGCCTTTCTATCGACCTTTGCCTCCTTTGCATCCCACTTCACTTCGACACCCTCTTCATCATTAGTACGAATACTACCCTCTCCGATGTGCCTCCCCTTTCGCCTGATCTTCTGTCGCCTGTTTCTGCCTTCGTCCTCGCCTTTGCCTCAACCTTCTCCGCCACTCTTCTCCGCCCTCTTCTTCGCGCCGCCCTGTTTTTCGTCTCCATCTCCACCTCCTCCTTTCATTTCCTTCTGCTCTACGTAGGCGTGCGCTGGTTCCCTCCTCCCGCGGCTGCTCTGCGCTTTGCGCCTTGGGGCGTGCTGCGGAGGCCTTCTGCGCGATTCGGCTGCGCGCCCAAACGCGCTCCTCGCAGCACTCGGCATTGCCCCGCTGGCTAATGGGCTTCCTTTTGAGGACGCGCGGAACGGCCGCTTATGAGCCTGAGGCGGCGGCGCTTAGGGGAAGGTAAGCGAGCGCCGTCATGGTATTCACAATACGAGCTATTCAGAATCACTGGATGCAAAGTTAATTCTGCGTTCGTACACAAGCTAATATACAATTCTTTAATTTTGAATGTAGAACTGGCAAAGTTTTTCTGAGGTTGGATGAGGAAATATAGTTTTTAATCGCTCTCTGCGCGAAACGCGGTTTGTCTTGCTTGTTTTACGTGTGCCAAACAGTTAATTTTTCCACAGTGTGCGAAACATCACGAAGCGTGTGTGAAACATCTGTAACGATGCGCAATTGTCTTTCGTCTTGACAACGTCTTTGTTTTTTTAGAAACAATAGTGTCACGACACTGACTGGAATCCATTTTCTTTTGTACAACTAAGGTATTTCTAGTTATTTAATATTTAATTTATATCCCTTTACTTGACGCATTGAGGTTTGCGTGTATTAAATATAGGGTACGCGCAAGTGTTGCGCTCACTGCTTGTTAAATATAGTGTAAGTAATTAGGCGCGAGATGATTCTCACACTTCTCTCTTTGTAGTCTTCACTTCACTCTGACGACAAACTCGAATCGTGCGTGATCACTTGTTTCGCGCGCTTGTTACGTAAACTACTATTTTGAAATTGTGAAATGAACTATACGAATATTTCGCAAGATGTGAACTTGCCGTGCATTCCTTCCTTCCTTCCTTTCTTCATTCATTCAGGTCAATGGTTTCACTGACACTCGATCATTGCCTGGCAATATATAAAATTGTTGTTGTTGTTATTATTATTGTTATTGTTATTGTTATTATTAATTATATCGCTATCTTCGGGAGCCGTTGGTTTTCAGGATGCAAACGCATAAGCGCAAGACGTTTCGCTTTCACCGAGTACCCGTCGCTAGATGGTTGAGTCGTTAGCGAACACATGTGTCCCTCAGCCTTGGGTCACCAGCTATTTTAGTAATTTATTCTCTAATCTCCGCGAGGAGCCATCGGCGCGTCCAGTGCCGTTGCCCTCTGATTTACGACCTGGCCGCCTCTCCCCACAGCCGCCCCGAGCAGGTCAGCGCGGTGGGACGAGCTGGCGGAAACGAGGCCAAAATCTCCAAAACAAACGTTTGTTGGTTTCTCAGCAAAAGTTTGCTTTCGGAGTTGGTTAACCCTCTGTAACTGTACGCTAGCCCTGCTCAGTGGTGGAGCCTCCCCTTTCTTTTTATGGGCTTGGAATGGGAGAAAATTGGATTCCAAATTATTTTCAAATACACGCAATTATTTTTACACTTTTGAGACATTTTAAACATATTTTAAAATTTATTTAGCTTTCGATCAGCAAGTAGGATAAATTTTTCTGATGTTCCGCACAAATGTGCCTATTTTTTTTAGTTTTTCTTTCCTTTGATTCCTGGACATATGAAACGGCGCTCGGTCTTCTTCTTGGGTTTATTCAACTGAAAGTATACCCTTTTCACTTTCTCGCCCTTTATTCGGAAGAAGAGAAAGTAACCGTGTGCTGGAAAACGGCGAGAGAAAAAGTTTCTATAGAAAAAGTTTTTTTGCCGGACCCTGTTAACTAAAAGCGGAAAAATCGTGTTCATGTGTATAGTAAATTACCTGTAAATCTGTAGCTGGAAGTCTGTGGAGAAAATCCTGAAAAATAAAATTGTCACAAAGAAGAGAAAAATCAATCAATCAATCAATCAAGTTTAAAATGATTGATTTTTACTTTTTATCAAAACTAAACTAGAATTTTATTTATTGAATGATGTATTATAACAAAATGAACAAAATCCAAATTTTCGTTACTGTACAGTAGGGTCATTAAAATTTCATTGTTTATGGGGGTCATTAAACAAGGTGCTTAAAGACAACTCTTCGGCGAAAATAATCCATGCATAACCCTAGTTCATATCGATTAATCTGTTGCCAGCACTATTCTTTCACTCCTGGTAGTTGTGGCTCTAGGTTATCTTCTATGTACATTTAATTTTTTTAAATTTTCCAGGTATTGACATAAGCATTTTTATGTTTTTACGGTGCAATTAAATGCCGCCGATTATGCGTCTTGTAGACATGTGAGAAATATTGTTCCACTTTTTCGAATGTCGCTTTTATAGCCTGTACTTTATAAAAGTTAGTATAACTCAATATTCAGCACAGCGTACAAAAAGTTAAAGCAATGCTATCAGCGCAGCAAATAAATACTTTTATATGGACTCCATCGGAAGTGTTGAGAAAAAGTCAACACCTTACAGCTCGAGCGAATCGGAGATTGGGAGGTCGTGCGTTCAATCCTGCTAGAGTGAAGGGAATTTACTTTATGGTTCAGGATTGGTCTAGAATTTGGTGCTTCTTATTTGATAGAAAAGAATTTCCGAAGGAACTTCACAGTATTCTTTCATTTTGTCCGATCAAATCAGTCCAACGAGTATGCAAAAGTAATTATATACACACTCCGTTTTGTTTACCTGACGTTAAGTGGACAAATGATGATTACAATGCGTCTCTTCACTTCAAACGTCAGAAAAAAACTGTAAATTATTTCGAATTTTCTTTTGAATCAGCAACGAACTAGTACACCTGAAGGTTTAAATGCACCACGAGCGTACTAGATGTTTTTGCCCCTAAGGCGACTTCCAACCTCCCGGGCCAGAGGTCATCGAGATTGGCAGTCGACCCCGGGGCAAAAACATCTACTTAACGCTCTAGACACATAAATAACATTTATCAACAATACATATTTGCACATGTTACGCAAAAACATTAACATTTTTCATCTTATCATATCTTAATTTGTTCAGTAGCGCTCGAAGAGTATTCTCAAGTCATTCGTCGAGGTTATTTTGGGGACTAAACCGTGATAGTGTATTTGATGAAGCATCGTGTACAAATGTTTTACTAAAAGGAATTGTGCACTCTTGTACACTTTCATCATAGACTTTTTTTTTACTCAATCCCATTTTGTGTTTAATTTTGAATTACTGGGTTTTTGCTTGGTGTTTGGAAACGACCATACGGAATATGTGTGGACATTCCATGTTGTTTCCCCCTGCCACTGCACTAGAGAGTCTGAGGACAAAGTTAAACTGTAGTGTTCTATTTATACAATTTGTGTTGTAAGACTGTTTGGTGATGAAATTTTTCAGAAATGAGAATGGAAATAATTGAAATGATTTAACCTTAATTTAATGTAGATTTGTGAATTACGAATTAAATCAATGAAAAATTATATTTAATCCTTGTTTAAATATTTATATGTATATTTGAAAGTTGATAATAAGTTGAATTATTTGGAACTTGTCGAATAAAAAACTATGTTGAACTGCGTCTAGCTACGCATTGTCCCGTCGAGATTAATGTTTTAAAAATTAGCATTTTTTAAATTCTGAAAGCTGCATTCATAAGTCTTCAAAGTAAACACTATGTAACGGTTTCTAGCAAACGAACCGCGTTTGCTTTCTAACTTATGAAACTTAGGACAAGTTTTTTCACATTTTGTGAGTACATATTGGTGATGCTTTTTTTCATAATTGATCATTGCAGTAATCTCTTGACATCCGCGAATTCGCTACGCGCGAGTGCCGAACATTCGTGATTAGCGAACTGCTATGGGTTTCAACATTCGTGACTTCAACATTCGCGAGTGCGCCCTTTGGTTGTAGTACATTTTTTTTGAAAGCGAGCACATTTCATTTTCTTTATCAGTGTCATATGGGAACAGGACTCTGCAGACACCGGAGCCGTTCACGTTTTTCGAAAATGTCAAAGTTAGAATGTTAATTCACATTAATAGAATTGCACAATTATAAAATAATTCAATTCAGTTGCGTCAAATTGGAGGTAAGGGTTTTGGCTACATGAAGAGAAAAGCCATTCAGGATATATGCGACTCTCATTATAATGACCGCACTGAAATCGAACCTCGGGAAATCATCAGCGAAGCAAACCTCGAACTCATTGATGAAGTAAAGGGAGCAAAACCGCGTTCTGGAGCAACTTCAAAACGGTTAATGGCGTTCTTAACGTTCAACAAGCTCTGGTGGAAAGGACATTCGAATGTAATCCGAACATGGCAACAACTTAGAAATTTATGAGATAAATAGAATCAACAGCTCTTTCATATTTGGATATTAGACCAACGAGAATGGTGATGACAAACTATAACCATATCCTATATCCAATTACTTTCAAATTTGAAATAAGTTTCAAATATTTTTTCTTTCTTCTCTTTGGAAAGTTAATTTTGAATTCTGTGTGTAGTAGTACTTACTCAGTTCTGTAATTATTAGTCAGATATTTTTTTCCTTCTTTTTTAAACTGATTTTTCATATCCAGGAACCGAACTCACCTTTCTTTATTAAAAGATAGACTCAACATTTGCAGATTTATCAATTGCGATGATTTTTGTGAACCTAACACTCGCGAATGCTAAGGGATTGCTGTATTTTTGAAGAAACGCAACGATGTAAAAATCTGTTGTTTACAGAATAGTGATAGAAATCGGAAGGTTTTAGGTTTTAGTTACAATGTCGTCTATTGGTCACAATGAGCGTTTGAGATACATTCACGTAGGAGGAGAAAAATTTACGCGAAACAATGATATGTAAACTAGTTGTATTTAATGTGGAGCTATAGCGTATTTAGACGTTCAATGCACACATGAATCGTCAGTTCTGGCCCGTTTTACAACTTCGTAACAAAAATGTTATTTCCCCTAAAGTGCACGTACACACAATGAACCCTATTTACAATTTACATATATGTGGTGTTAGTTGATCCGTAGAGGGGTATAAAGGAAAAAAAATAGTTAGTCCAATATACGTATTTTTCCCATGAAAAAAGGTTTTTAAAGACACTTTTTGTGTCAATTGTATCAAACTGTTCTGAAAAGAGACGATTGTGTTTGTAGTATACCGTAATTATACTTCTCAAATTACTGCATCCTCCCATCGCAAAATTTTTTTCCAGCTCGGTCATAACTCTTCCCTCTCGATAGAGTTTTATTTTTAAATGCTTTACTAGATAGAACGTGGATTTTGGCGAGTAAACCGAAATTCCAAAAACACTTGTCTGTCTTCCTCTTTGAATTATCATTTCAATGTATCAGTCTCCGGTAAGCATCATCTCTCACAACATCGGATGTTGGACATTTTTATAAAAAGTCTCTTTGCATTTTTATTTTTCAAGTTTTCCTCAATTTTATGACGTGTAAATAAAAGCAAATGAAGCTACACTCCAAATCTTTTGTAGTTCGTATTTCTCACTCCGGCATTCCAACGCTGCGTTTCACAGCCTTCGTAAGCGAATTAGTGTTAGTTTAATTTCCAGTAAATGGACTGTTATTTTTCGTTTCTTCACATTGTAATCATATATTCTGTACATGGAGTTTTGTGAAGTGATAGATAAATATATAGATCGAAATTTTATTTGACCATTTGTAGAGTTCTACTTCTTCATAACGGTCCTCAAACACGGCTTAATGCATTTTTTATCGCATTTCTAAACGTTAGAAAGCTTTATAAGGAGCACAGTATTATGTTTTAAAGGAGAAATTCCCTCATGAAAATTCTGTAAAAACGTCGCTGTGCAATGTTTGATGCAATTGATCCGGGCGGTCCTTTCCGTACATATTTGGTTTTCATGAGATGACAGCCGCATTTGCTCTCCTCCTTAGGGAGTGTACCCGCTGGACTCGCTACTTGGTAAAGCACGCCATCCTGTGCATGGCAAGTGGGCGTTATCTGGGCAGGTCCGCCCTCCCCCTGGGCTGTGCCGGGACGGAAAGGGGCGAGGCGAGGCGGGCTGGTACGTGGCGGGGCGGGGAGGGGACGGGAGGGGAGGGATGAGGCGGCGGTGAGGGGCGGTGAGGGGTGGCTTTGTGTTTGTTCGGGCGGAGTGTGGGGGGACGCTACGAACTCGCGCCTCTTGATCTGCCGCCCCGGGCCAAGGGCGAGGGCGAGGGCGAGGGCCACCCTGCCGCCCTCAGCGGCTTCAGATGGGCGAGTACTCCCGCTGGGCCCCCTGAGCGACGGCCCAAGCGCAATCAAAAAACGCAGCTCGGCGCGCATTCGCTCCGTCGGGCGGCGCCCGGCGCGTGTGAAACGCCTCACCTGCACTCGCCCTGCCGCTCCCTTGCCCCCCGCCCACCTTCCCCCCGCCCCCTTGTGGACACGGTGGGGGCGACGGAAGACGAAGGAGGCGATGAGACGAAGGGGGCACTGTGGTGCCTCTGGCCTGGAGGTCCCTAGGTTCGAGTCCGGCGGCGTCAGGATTATCGACACTAGCTAGATAGCTAGGTCGAGTATTTTCGTTGACAGGAGGAGAATTCTATCTCTATGCCTACTGATCTGATCGGTAGTTTTTCGTGTTTTCTACGATCAATGCCAGGCGAGCTGGTAGTGCTTGTTCACACGTATACTTATTCAGTTTCGTACTAAATACAATAACAAGATCAACCGATATTGTCTCCCCGCTTTGCCTGTTCTGTGATGGCGAATTTTAAATAATCGTAGCATTCTATGTAGAAACCTACCAACATAAAAATTACTATTTTATCTAAAGTGACTTGTGATGAAATGACAATACCCAGTATTTTGAAAGTTTTTCGTGACATGTCTTGCCCAAAACGTATCACATGGTCAGCTGATCATAACAGCAACTTTATATTGTAACATTAGTGTATTTTGAGGGATGTAGTACACGACATTTGGTCGGAGTAGAAACAATTAAACAATTAGTTTGTCGACGTTTCGGAATATTTTAATTCCATCCTTAGGGCTATTCTGCAAAAAACAACGCACGAAGACATCAATATGAATATACATATTATTAATGTGATATGCAAAAATGATAAAAAATGTACACACTTTACTTAATAATTATGGAAACAGTACAGCAACAGTATATCACAGTTCCAACCCAATGCCACATGTAGTTGCTGTAGGCACGGGTCCATCTCGTACCACGTCTGACTGGCCAAGACACCAAAGGAAATGAATTAGAATTTTACTAC